CAGGAGATACAGAGTATCTCGTTGTCAAAGAGAGGGTGAGTAGAGCTTTAATAATAGTGAGGAGTGAGGGGTCTTACAAACAAGGTGAAACCAAAATATTTACAATAACGTGAAGGCTGATGCAAGTGACGGGATTCCTTGTTAAGACTTCCGAAGGAATTTGCGCTGCTCTGGAGGACAGGCACATACATTTACCTCAGGTTACTGGACCATAGAAATAAAATTTAAAGAGAATTCACTAGGAGACAGGAAAGGGAAAAGAAGTGAGGGCACCATAGGAAATAGAAGCTGGAAGCTGGGTCTATGCAGGTCAGTCCAAGTCAATCATCAACCATCATGATGTAAACAGATCAGGCCTGTCTGGTTAAAACAGGAACACTCGGGTCAGATAAAAAATCAGGTCCTGCCACGTCCTGTTTCAACAGACAGAACTAAAGCATAGCGACACCAAAAGGTGAATAATAAATGGTTAAAAAGAGAGAGAGAGAGAGCCCTGGCCGATTGCTCAGCCCGGGCTCAAGTTGCCCCAGAGCCCCCTAATTCCTGTTCGGCCTCCGCCGGCCTAGCAGCGCACCCTCGGGGGGCCCAGGGCCCNGCGGGGGCGCTCGGCCGCGGCCGTGCTGCGAAGGGCGTTTCCCCGCAGAGCCCCCTAATTCGTGTTCGGCCTCCGCCGGCCTAGCAGCGCGCCCTCGGGGGGCCCAGGGCCCAAGACGCCTCCTGCCCCCCTCGGACTTTCGCTCTGCTCCCCGCCACCCACATCTCTTGTTCCTCTGTCCCGCTGCTCCTTGGGGGGGATGCGGAGATGCCCTGGCTTCTCCCCAGCCCTGCAAAGGGGGCAACACTGTCCCCAGGGGCGCCCCAGGCCTGCCTCCTGGGCCCGGGACCGGGACCTGGGAGCCCCAGGTGTGAATCCGCCCCCACAGCCCCTGCACAGGCTTTATTGCAGAGTCTGTCAAAAATGCTTTTTCTAGTTTATTTTGCTTTTTATTTAGGGTTTTGTGGGGGGTTTTGCAATAAGACTTTTTCTGAGGTCTTTCCATTGCTGATTTCTCTTCAGCTCCGTGTACCCCTACCTAGAGATCTGATAAAGGTTCACCTTGAACTTCTCCTGTTTGATTGAGATGTGAGGACCTTTCCTCTTTCTCGCTCCTGGAATGGATCCATCTCGCTTTCCTGCCTGTCCCCTGCGGCCTGGCATTTCCCTCAGGCGCCTTGTCCCTGCTCAGTGCACCCTCCTTGACTCAATTCTGTAAGTGGTTGTGGGGCTCCTGCCTTTTGCTCACCTCCTCATAGTTCACGGGGTGTGTGTGTCCACACTGGCGAGGGCCCTGAGGCAGGACAGTGGAAAACGGGAGGAGAGAAGCTCTACTTGCCGCTGGCAGGAGAGTCCTTTTGAAAATGAAACCAACTGCCCTCCCGACAGGTAGCAGAGATGTCATATGGCACAGACCCTGGACTGATCCTGAGAAAACAGGACTAAGAGACAGGAGGGGGGACACCAGGGTGGCTCCCTGTTCCCTGTTCTCAGAGAAGATGGTCTGAAATAAGGAAGTACTTGAAAGAACGTTCTGAGATGTGGGACTTAGTCTGGAGGCTTACAAGTCTGGTTATGTAAAGATTTCAGAAAAGCTTAACCCTTTATAGCACCTTCATCTGATCCCCTTCAGGCTTCAGTGAGACAGGAAGTGAGGTTAAGTACATCAAGCAAGTGACCCAGGAGCAGGTGTGACTTGCCCAAGGTCACACAGTAAATCCCTCGAGAGCTGAGGCTGGCGCCCAGGGCTCCCCTTCCTCCCTCCCTCTTTGCCTTCCTCCCTCCCTTTCTGCTTTCATAATTGTTGAAAACCCACTGGTTGGCAAGCACGGTACCAGGGGTGGGCCCACAGTGCTGCACAAGAAAATAGAGTCCTTTCTGTCCTGGGGCTCTCATTCTAGAAAGGATACAGCCATAGACACATACGCCCACCAACATACANGCTCTCATTCTAGAAAGGATACAGCCATAGACACATACGCCCACAACATACACAAACAGTGGTTGTAGGTGCTATTAAACCCATCAACACAGACCCAAGTTTGAAAATAACTGAGGTGAAAAGGGTTGCATGCTCCAGGTGAGTGGTTAGGGAAGGTTCCTCGTAGAAGACATTTAAGGAGTGGGGAGGGTTGGGGAGCCTTCTAGGGCAAGGAAATAGCAGATTCTGAGATTCCAAAGTGGGGAGTGGGGTGGGGGCAGGGAGAAGCAGGTAGATTTGAGATATATTTTGGAAGTAGGACTCTGTTAGGAGTGATGGAAAGAGAAGGACCAGGGTGAGTCTCAGGTTCTGGGGGGAGCTGCTGGCTGGGTGGTGGTGTGATTGCAGAGTTGGGGACCCTGGGAGCAATCAGGGGAACAGGTAAGAATCAGGAGTTGAGTTTGGCCATGCTAAGTTGGAGAGGCCTATATTTCAATATCCAAGAGGAGGCGTCATTGGGCAGTTGTAACTATAAGTCTGGCACTTGGGGGAGAGGCCCAGGATGGAGATATAAATTTGGAAATCCTTAATTTGTAGAAAGTATATAAAATCATGAGACTGGAAGCAGCCACCTAGGAAGAGGAGAGGAAAAGGCACTCAGGCCTGAGTCCTGGATGCTCTAACATTTAGAAGTCAAGGTCAAAGAGGAAGAGCCAGGAAAGGACACCACAATGAACACCCAGCATAGTGGAAGAAAAACCAAGAGAGTGGTGTCAATGGAGCCAAATGAAGTGTATTTTTGAAAAGGACAAGGGCTCAGCCATGTGGAATGCTGCTAGGGGATTATGAAAAATGAGAACATAAGCATGACCACTGGATGTGGGAACATGGAGGTCATTTATGACTTTGATCACAGGAGTTTCAGAAAATTGGTTGGGACAGAAGCCTGAGTGGAGGGGGTTGAAAAGTAAATGTTGACTTCTAAGAATGGCAGACGGACCATAATGGAAAACCAAGGCAATTCTTAACTCCAGGGAACACAAAAAGTTGTTCAGTGATGGAAAGGTCACCATAGTGTGCCACATGGGTTAGCTTTGAGGGAGCGTTTGCAGTCTGACTCATAATGCTGACCTACCCACTTGCCATCCCTATAGTAGGGAGGCGGTGGGGTGGGGAGGGATGGGCAGGGAGGGGGAAGAACTAAATCTTCCTTTTCAAAATGATGCGGGAATCAAGGTCCTGAGCTGAGCGAGGTGTGGGAGACTTAAGGTGGGCCTGTGAAAAAGGAGTTTGGGGAAGGGAACATCTCAGGGAATTGTAGAAGGGGGATGTGATATCCAGAGGGTCCTTGTGACATGTGAGGTGATATATTTACAGTGCAGCCAGTCAACACAGTAAGGAGACTTTTTCCAGACCATGCAGGTTCCAAGAAGGAGGTATCAGGAGTAGCAGGCCTTCTGGCATCTGTGGGGAGGTGGTGTGCGGGTTCTTCAAGGGGCTCTGGTGTGGGAGGCAAGTCTCAGGATGCTGCTGCTGGTAGACATGGCTGGTCTGCTCCAGGGCCTGAGCCCTTCAGTTAGGGTAGCCCCATTCGATTTTAGATGGTAACTCAGATCTGAAGTGCAAAAGAGGGTAAGGTGCTGGGTGGGTGCAGGCCACACAGCTGGCCTAAGCCAGACCTCTGGCCTCCTCCCTTTCCTGTCTCCCAACCCACAGAGTCTCAGGGAGGCAGCAGTTCGGACCATGCTTCTTTCTAGGTCAGGAATGGAATGAGAATGTTCCTCCTGGGTTAACCCAGGAAGATAGTGTCTGGAAAATCTCTTCAGCTGTTAAGAACAAGGGCATTAATAATACAATACTACTTGTAATTAACTTGACACTGGTGCAGGCACTTTTCTAAAAGTCTTATATTTTCCATGATTTCATGCCTCACAACAGCCCTATGAGGTGGGTGTTAGTATCTACCCTACTTCGCACTGAATGAAAGGGAGGCACAGAGAGGACAAGTGACCTGCCCAAGTCATGACCTTTCCTGGAACAGCAGCCAGATTGCAACAGGCCATTGGGCTCCAGTGTCCTCACGGGCCCTAAGCAGGACATTCCTGAAAAGATTGACACTGGGTTCTGAGTGTGGGAGGCCTCCTCCCTGGGACACTGGACCCTTCACATTTATTGGGAGGAGGCAGCCCTGTCTGCCCCCTCCTCGAGCTTCCTTATGGGACTCTGGAGAGGAGGCCAAGAGCCTGGGGGCTGGAAGAGCTGGGGCCACAGGGGTACTCTGGTGGCCCTGGTGGGGAGCGAGGCTGCAGCCTCTTGGACCCACCAACCTGGGGTCATGAACCAAAGGCTCCTTCCTCAAACCGGGCCTATTTGGCTATGACTTCTTCCTTCCAAAGCCCATATGCCCTCACCCCACCCCAGTCCTGGTCCCCATGAACTAGGATCTTAGTGGGGGTAGGGATTGGGGCAGGCTAGCTGTCAGGCTCCATGGGGCTCTCCCCATACCTTTGGACCTCACTGGATTCCTGGCTCCCATGTTCCTGCCGGGGAGGCGAGAGACGGGGACATGCCAAGAAGCTGCCTCCAAGGCCCCCAGTCTCTGAGCCCCTGCACCCTGCTCTGGGTGTGCGCGTGGGATGGGAGCAATCCCAGATTCCCCAGGAGCCTGCCCCCCCCCCCCGTGGGATCCACCCCCTGAATGCTGCTCCCTTACCTCCATGGCTGGGCTGCCTGGTCCACGGGGCTGCAGGCAGCCATTTCCTTTCTTGATGCAGCCAGTACAACCACCTCCCTTCACACAACCTGGAGCGTGTGCTGGTCCTGGTCGCTTGTCCTCTCACAGGGCCAGTGCTCCTGATGGGGTCCTGCAGGCATATAGCCCTCACCCTGTTCAGTTTGCGGAAGAGGAGCGCACGGGGCCAGATGAGAAGGTGCAGGCAAGTTTATTAGGACATCTGAGTCCAGATGGTTAAAGCATCTGTGTACAGATGGGCTGGGCTCCAAGTGGCATCAGCGCCAAGTGGCTGGGGAGCAAGTCTCTTTACAGGGTGTAGGGAGGGAACTTCTTGGCGTGCCCGGTTCTTCCGAGCAGTAGTGGAGGGTTATCAAGTGTAATGATCAGGTTGTTGCTGGAGTTCATCTAAAAGTTACTTTCCCATGCAGGGGAGGGGTGAGCCCTCAGGAGCATTAAGTTTTTGTCCAAACCTAACACTCCCCACTACCCCTGGGCCCATCAGAACCTTATTTCTTATATATCAGCCCCTTGGGTACCTATCACCCGCTTCTCAGGAGGCTGATGGGAGGATAGGGCCCCTAGGCCCCTAGAAAGCTTAGAGACAGCCCCCAAATGACCCTCGTTTGTCCCTTTCTCAAGTCCTGAGAGCTGCAATCACAGTCACAGCAGCTCCTGCCACACCGTGGCCACACCGCTGCTAGTGACAGTCATGAGGCCGGCACTCCTCCCCTGTCATCCGCTGCACACACAGGCCCACGTGCGTCCCCAGGCGCCCAGGCGCCTGAATCACTGCTGACGGCTTGGGACCTGGTGGCGTGGGCTCCTGGGGATCCATTGGGGAAGGGAGGAGGTGGCCACGTCACCTCAGAGAAAACACCTGTGGCCATAAATAGGCAGCCAGTGAAGGCAGCACAGCACAGCCTGCACAGCAGCACCACGCTGTACCCACCTGTGCCAGGATGCCCGACGCCATGCTGCCCGCCTGCTTCCTCAGCCTGCTGGCTTTCACCTCTGCCTGCTACTTCCAGAACTGCCCGAGAGGTGGCAAGAGGGCCATATCCGACCTGGAGCTGAGACAGGTATGACCATGGTCCACCTCTGGGCTTCCGGGAAGCGGCAGAGCCCCAGGGCTGGCACCACAGTGCAGGGGCTGGGAAAAAGGAAGGTTGTGGGACAGGCGGGCTTTAGGGGAGTTCCCAGTAGAAGCGAGGCCTGGAGTGGATGAGCAGAGGGGACCAGATTGCTGGGCAGGCTAGGACAGGCTGCAAGGCTTCCTGGACACTGTCGCCATTCAGATAAGGGTGCAGGAAAGAGAGGTCTCCACAGTAAGGGCTTGGGGCTGGATCAGGGAGAACTGGGCAGTAAGGCCTCCTGTGTGCCCATGGGGGCCTCTCAGCCAGCAGTGGCTGGAGCAGCAGAGGCTCTGTCCTACTCAGCATCCGAGGCCTTCTCCATCCAGCTCCCAGCCCCTCCCGGCCACAGGCCCTGGCTGTCGTCTGAGCTTGCCTGAGTTGGAGGTGCCACCCAAGCACCCTGGGAGGAAGTTCTGCTGGGTACCTAGCCCACTTCTCTCCTGCTGCACGTCTAGTCGATTCCCTTTTAGTCCATTTTCTTTAGAGCTGAAGGAAGTCCAATCACCATGCTCAATCTCAATTCTTCCCAGGCCACAGGAGGCTCAATTTTGAGCGGTTGAACAAAGTAGAGCGGGTAGCTGGGCAGACTACAGACTCCCTTCCCTCCGCTCGGTGCCTCTGCAGGCCTGAGTCACCTAGGGGCCTCCAGCCTCCGCAGGGCCCAGCCCCGGCGCCCGCCTGGCTCGTGCGCAGGCGGGTCCGCAGAGGCCCACCAGCTCGAGGGGAAGGTGCGGGGAGGGGGCGGCGGGGGAGCGAGGCCAG